CAATTTCATCCATCACTTACCTTTGGCGCCTATAGATCTAAACGAGAATGGATCTGTCCCCGAGGTGCATTTCATTAGCGATCTGTATTAGGCCCGGCAGTGAGCGGGCTCCAGCGGGGGAGGGCGGCTGCCGTGTCCAGGTCCGGTGCCCGGCAGTGAGAGGGCTCCAGCGGGGGAGGGCGGCCGCCATGTCCAGGTCCGGTGCCCGGCAGTGAGCGGGCTCCAGCGGGGGAGGGCGGCTGCCGTGTCTGGCACCCGGCGCCCGGCAGTGAGAGGGCTCCAGCGGGGGAAGGCGGCCGCCATGTCCAGGTCCGGTGCCCGGCAGTGAGCGGGCTCCAGCAGGGGAGGGCGGCCGCTAGAGCACTTCAGGATTGGATAAATCCTCGGATTGCGGATCAATCCGCGGGCCGGATAAGACTGGATCAGAAATGTCCACCAAAACACGGATTGGGATCAGACAGGATTTTTAAATTTACCAGTTCACACGGATTGAACGGAACCAATGGGGGAACCAATGAAATGGAGGTTATCCTTAAAGAGTTCTTCAAATACTCAATGAAGGCACCAACTCAGAAAAGAAAGTTTTTCATTTATAATGCACAGTTCTTTCAATTCCAAGTAATGCACAAACAGGCTACATAGAGCGTAGCTCAGCCATAACTTTCACCAACAAATTTTCTGATGAAGAGATCACAATTCAAATTGACATGAATGAGTGACACTCAGATAGGCTGCTATGGGAAACCAGAGCTCCCATTCCTTTCAAGGTAGCTAAAACATATAATGATATTATACCCTATCTTTCCAGAACATAGCTACCTTCTGACCTTGTCAGCAATCCCGATTTCCCCAGTGAATGACACTGCATTTCAGAGTTGAAAGAAAGAGCGAGAGCATGATTTGTTGGTAGAAAAACTTCACAGAGATCTGAAATACAATTTCCTGTCCCACAAAATACGGAAGGTTAAATCCATGGCCACACTATAGTTTCTGTTTACGTAGCCGCGTCAGCCAAATGTAGGAGTTAAACACCAGCTCCAAATTAAGCATGCTGCTTCAACTGATCCGGTTCAAGGTGACCGCCAGAAGAAAGGCTGTTGCATCCTCACGATTACTAATTATCCACTTTCTCCCCAACAAATGTGTCTCGAAGGACAAACGTGACGTCCTCTACAACCATGGACCAAAGGAAACTTTCCCACCAAAGGTGAGTTAGGAACTCTTTGCATCCAGTAAAAGCTTTGGCATTGGGTTAGTGTTTATCAATTTGTTCCCCATCTTTTCTTCTACTTCCAAGTGCATAAACTATATAAAAATTGGATGCCAGCGATGCATTTGCATACCTGCAATTCTCCTGGTTTTGGAAGTACAGCACACTCTACACAGAGTCAGGAAGTTAATATGGGTGAGCATATCACCCAAAACCGTCCAATCATGCCTCAATTGAACATTTGGCCAGCTTTGGAGTAGTTTGTGCGATCATCAGATCCCTTAAAAAGTGGCTAGTGTGTATACGAGATGTCGAAATTCAAACGTTTATGATAGATGTCGGATGATGGGCGACAAGTACCTTGCTCTCACACTACGTTTTGTGAATACGGGAGGGTTCCATATTTGCGTCTAAGGCACTTGCGGTGCACGAGAGACGCTGCGCACTTCGACTTAAATGCTGCGTCATCTAATAAAGCATTCATGTTGGGGGCTGCCAGTAGTGTAGTGGTTAACGTGTCTACGTTAACCACTGCGCGCTGGGAAAACCAGAGGTACGGGGTTCGATTCCCCGCGGTGTCCGCTATTCCTACCAGGGTGAGAGGCAGGCGACGCCGTATAGCCTCAGCAACTGAGTGCGTTGCAAAGCTCCAATGGCATACAAAGTATTCCTATTACCCCTCTAAGCGCGTTATAAACAAAATAACGGATACCAATTTGCGTACTATTGTCAAGGTACATCTAGCTGGAAAATCTAGCTGGAAATAAATGACCGTAGTTGAGGTTGTTTATCTGTTGTAAGTTGTTAAGTGCATTTGCGAAGAATATCACTCGTGCTATACTATACGAAAACACAGTACTAATAGCCCTACTCGCCCTAGAATAAACAGGAGCATGGAGGGATGGATGTGATATTTCGGCTATGTGCCGTTATCGACACGAAAGGCATGTAGACGGGACAGGACGTGGGAATGTGTGGTTGTGATGTGTCGTGTGATCAAAATTGGTGAACATGCTACCCAGCACCGTTCATTCATGCCTCAAATAAATATTTGGTAAGGTTTGGAGCAGCTTGTGCGATCACACATATGGCAGACCTCACACATGGCCGATGTGTGAGGTCTGCTCTCAAGCACGTCTTTTCGTTCCAATGAAGGCATGTAGCCGAAATATAGCATTTATCTCTTCATTTCCCCGTTTCTTTCTACGAAATATAAGGCTAGTAGCACTGTCTCATCTACTTGTTTGCCAGTTGGTGTGTCCGATAATGGATACACACCTGAATAATCACATCTGAGGTGAGGTGGTCGTTCTGATTGTTCAGAAGAGACATACTTGATCGGTGTCGTCCTGTGAACTAGGTGTCGCTGAAGCTGTCTAGTGGTGTATGCAGGTTTGTTACATCTAGCCTGGAGCCTGAAAATGCTAAGTAATATGCCTACGCCTTTAGATTATTGTAACCAGAAGCAATTTTTCCCCGGCGATGTGGTGTTACTGGAGAGTTATTTCCCAAAATAGTTGTGACTCTGTGATTCTGATTTTGCCTGCTTTAGAGCTCGTCGGACGTCAGCTTCAGAGTGCTGTGCCTGGCTGTCAATACCGATGTGTGAGGTCTGCCGTCATGCGCGCAAAATGTTGGCCTCAAATCCGGAAACAGATCCGTGACGCCCGGAAGCTCCGCTGATCGGTATCGCCCACCCCGCTTCGTTTCGCGCGTGGCGTGTCACTGGAGCTCGCTGGAATGTCACCAGCCTGACATTGCGAGCCACCGCACGTTGACCTGTTCGCTGGCTCGGAGAACGCCACCCACGCCGGGGACCGCGCGGGCCGACCGATGCCTGACGCCATCTTGAGATACATGCTGCACCACATCTGGCCTGGCCTGGCCGAATGGTCAGGGATCGTTTGTTGGGCGGGCGGCCGCTGAGCCTGGGCCGTCTTGATAGGGCGGGTCCAGAGGGGACTATCCTCGGCGAGACCTGGATATCATCAGCCCTGATGTCGACACTCGACTCGCAGTCGTCGGTAGTTGGCACATCAACAGCGAGCCAGGAACATCATTGACACGCCCGGCATCCGAACGGGAGTTGAGCAAGGCTCGGTTTTTGCTCTTAGGCAGAGTGAAACGGAGGACACATGCATGTGCGTGTGGACATGCGAGTGGACCGGTTTAGGAACGTGATTAAATTTGAAATAAATGCAGCGTTGTTGTGGGTTGCTGAGCATGACTGCTTGAACGACAAAAAACCTCGAGTTTGTAGCAATGTCAGCATTGTGGGTGGTGGCGTGGCGCGCCCGGACGGCCGGTTAATGCGCTGCTTCAGAGAGCTTTGTCATGATCTAATGATACAGAGCTCTTTGTGCTACGGTTAGTTTTAAAACCCACTCCCCGCATCAAGTATGAATGTTTTGCATGCAGAAAAGACATAACGATGGCAGCCAGCGACCTGTTACGTGAGAGCAGCTTGATTCCATCTGCCGCTTAAGGGCAAATCAAAACACAAATCCTGCTCTAATTTGGCCTTAAGAGAAGTTTTGGGTTCAGCCGGACCACCCCATGACCTGACTTCTTCTCTAAGTGTTATAAGCTTTTTATAAATTGCTGTGCTTGATGAAATCCTATATTTTGGGGTCATTAAGGTACACTACACTTAACCAGGGCTAACGAAATTTAAAGCTTGGTCAAATAGGTTAAGAAAAAGCTGTCAAATTACGTAGGGGGAAATCTCTCTGAGGACGATCAGCCGTACATTTCTTGGACCCAATATTCACCCTAACTTTTCAGAATGGCATAGCAAACAAGGGAATTTCGGGAATATTAAGTTCGGTTCGAAAAGCTCCGTTCATGTCCGCATGTCTCTGTTAAAGACGGGCGGTACAAGGGCATATTGACAAAAAGAGGTCTGCTTTCAATTTAAACCGTTTAGAAATTTGATTTAGGCCTAGAAGCCGTTACAAAGCGATTCCAATAGCCGGCATTTAAAGGCAGGGTGGGGCATGTGCTTGAAGTTCACAGCACGCCTATTGGAACGCATACTTGCTTACTGTACGGCTAACAAAATATAATGTCAGATACAACAAAATCGATGCGGTTTGCATGATTTTACAGATTTGCATGATACGACCCGCCCAGCTCTCTGTCTCTAAAGACCGGTTTCGCCACCGCTGTAGGATAACTGAACAACGAAACGCGCAAATTCTTACATCAAACGCGCCAGTATTCGTACATCAGTATCTGATTCAGAAAACGCATTGGTGGATTGCGGGTTTCTTTTTTGGCACAAAAGTTGAAAATCAGTAAGACAATCATTTTCCACACGTTCGCTCCTCTTCTCTAGCAGGAACACCACCGGAGCGCGCTACCACCGGGGTCTGGCTCTCCCGTGCCGCGGAGCGTCCCAGCTCCGGCCACTCCGCTCGGCCGCCAGCCCGCTCTCCCGCCGCCTTCACGACGGCCCGATCAATAGAGAATCGACGAGCTCCTCTCAAACCGGCCGGAATCGGCCGCCGACCCGCCAGCCCTCGGCCCGATTACAAGCGCTCTGTTCGACATAATTACAGCAGCGGCCGATCCGACGAGCTAACCGCCAGCCGCCGTCTTTTAGCCGGCGACCAATCAGCGGGCGGCATTCTACCGCCAATCAATGTCGTGATCATCGGGGGCGGAGCCTGGGCCGGCGATCTCCGCCGCCCGGCCAAAGTGGGCGGAGACAGCGGCGCCGACCGGAGGCAATCGAGAGATAATAGAAAAGGTTGGCACAACTGGCGCCGATCGGCGCTACTTTCGGTGCGAGCGCCGGCGGCAGCGGTCACGTCGCCATGTCAGCGCCGGGCTCCCCTCTCAGTGCCAGTGGCAGCCGGCTGGGGTCCCGTTCACCGTCGCCGGGCCGCCGCTCGCCCGCCGCCAGTCCGCGACCCGAGCGCAAGTCGTTCAGCATCACGGACATCCTCAGCCGCTCCGACCCGGTCCGCGAGCGTCTGGATGACACGCAGAAGCTGCTGGATGCGGCCGCCGCCGCCAGGTATGGCCAGCAGTCGGCTCGTTTTGGAGACGACGACTTGTTCTCTCTCTCTCTCTCCCTCTCTCCCTCTCTCTCTCTCTCTCTCCCTCTCTCTCTCTCTCTCTCTCTCTCTCTCTCTCTCTCTCTCTCTCTCTCTCTCTCTCTCTCTCTCTCTCTCTCTCTCTCTCTCTCTCTCTCCTCTCTCTCTCTCTCTCTCTCTCTCTCTCTCTCTCTCTCTCTCTCTCTCTCTTCTCTCTCTTTCTCTCTCTCTCCCTCTGAGCTGTCAGTAACGGAGCGGCGATGGACGCTGAGGACGTTGCCGGTGTTCGCGGACGGACCGCTCTGCTCGGCATGGCGAGCTCCCAGGCGGGCTTCGGCTCTTTCGTGTTGCAAAATTACAGCGCTCTAATCTGGCTGTGGAAGGATTCGTTGCCTCTGAAGATGAGGGATGCTGAAATAAAACGCGAATCTTCTGAAACTGACGGTCACTTCACTAAATACGTTTCCATAGATATAAATCCTTGGCACGTAGTGTGATGAACGTTTTTCTGGAAAGTAAAACCGAGTCGCAGACGAAACTTTCCAAAGTCAACGCAGGCTTCGGTAATGGAGGCTGGTTCCTTCGACAACGTGCCTAGGCCTCGTGCTAAATTTCAGACCTTGAAGCTCGAGCCATTCCAGAATATATAAAAAATCCATATATGTCAAATTAAGCTCATGCGATGTCCGAAGTTAACGGTGCTGTCCTTCGAGATTATTTCGGTTTAATCCATAGACCTTCATAGTTGACACAGCACAAATGTTATGTCCTAGATAACCGGACATAACGGGGATCGCAATGTTGCATCCCAACTTATCATGCTTATTCATGTATTAGGCACGACTACACTTCGGCTAGTATGATTGAGGCAGCCAGAGTGGTCCATTTTAGGTCGATGCCTACCCTACACATGGATATTAGGATTAGGCGTGTCTGATTTGCAAAAAAATAAGCCAGATATCATTTTATCCTCAAGAAGCGAGCTTTGTATTCATCTCAGGTAGCGGAGCTGATCAGATTTGTCCAGTATGCTGGTTCATGGCTACCACGGGTATGTTTTATTTCAAAGGCTTGCATGGCTTATCCACCAACGTTAACGTAATTATTCAGCAACCTTTCTGAGCATGAACGTTTTCATTGCTTTTGTGATATACCACCTGTTAACGGAATGTTGGACGTGGCCGGGCGTCGGGAAATACCTGCCAGCCTTTTACCTACAAACCATAGAATCATAGCAGATAACAGCTGATGAGACGGAACTCGCGCGTCTTCTTTCCGCCCGCTGCGGCGCGGGTAGGCGAGGAAACCGTTCCCTGCCATCTTCTCGCTACGCATAGGTGTGGAAACGGGGTTGCAAAAGTCACTGGTTAAGTCACACGTAACGAAAAAGACATGTCCCACTGGTGCCTCGTGTCCCTTGGCAGCATGACCTATACCGTGTTTAGAAGTGAGCATACCAGCTTGGACGACCAAGGCAGCGCGGCGTGAGATCGAAGTCAGATGACATTCCCAGGCAGTTCTTCTGGCCAAGGTAGCGTGTGTTCGGGGCGGTGCTGGTCAGTGTGGCCGCCACCGCCTCCACATCCACCCACATGGAAACATCAGGATGTGGAGTTAATGTAATACAGGCGCTATTCAATGCATTGTCTGTTTCTTTCACAAACATCCGCGGCATACCTGCAAGAATGAGAACGAAACTTTAAACTCAAGCATATATGGCTTCAACTGGGGTCCAGGTGTGGTTTATTAGCTGGGGATCTTGGGTTACATCAGCAACGAGGAGCCAGTGTGTAGCACTGCAGATTTCATTGTTTTCACTGATCATTAGCTTATCCTTAAGTTGATATGGAAAATCGAAGAATTGAAGAAGCTTCTCAAGTTCGTTTTCTATACCAGGAACGAAGGGAAGAATTATGCAGAAAAATACGCCGTGGCTTTTATGGATTCCGTGATCGATCTTACCCTCTCACTTTTTTCGTTCTCGGAAAATCGCTCCTGATCCCGATCAACAAGCCCGCTTACTTTTCACTCACATTCTGCAACAGTACAATAGTTTGAGGTTGGCAAGGTGCTGGTTGAAAATATTTATCCTGTCGGCATTTCCTTGCGGACTTCTTTTACTGCGTAAATAAGGGCAAGATACTGCCCTTCCCTTGCCGACATTTTGCATAAAAATACGTTGTATATTGTATTGCAATCCGGCACAATCTCCATTCACCAAGACCTCAGCGAATGAGATGAATCACATCTCATCGGCAGCAACAAAACCAAGCCCTAAAGCATTGTGTCGAATTGGTTAGACCTTTTCAGTCAGCCGTCTTGTGATTACCTGCAGACCCAGCAAGCTTATGGGGTGGGCCATACTCGACGTAAAAGCTGCTTGAATCATACACCGGTTTTGATTTTTTTATTCAGTTTCGACATAGCTGCATGTTTGCGCCATAACTACCCAGGCAGGTTTTATGGCGTATATCTATAGATATGGCTTTTTGTGTGGTCATGATGCTATGTGTTTGATGGTCTTTTTGTGGTGATAATTAATCCTACGCGTTCACTGCGGAAGTTACTGCATTGTGATACCCTGCGAACGTCCCGTTAAATTAAAGGGGCTGTGCTTGCCAGATAAATCGCTTTGGAATCAACCACGTGGATAAAAAGTTAAGGCACACACTGCAGGTTTATTCGGCATCTTTCGGCTTACCAGAAGTCTCCTCTTTGCGCTGCGAAATCTAACCCTGCAGAGTTTGACCTTAGCGCAGGATGTGCAGGGATCCGCGGCACCGGCGCTACTGTCGCATAAGCACCGCCAAATAAATAGCCTGGAAGCCGAAGACAAAGAGCAAACATGAAACATTTACATATTTATGGACTGTTTAGGGTGTAAACCTGATTTTTAGATATCGTTTTTGTCCGTTCTGTAAAAACGAAAGTTTAAAACTTTGTTTCGCCGTGACTTATCTCTTTAGAGAGGCTGGGCTCGCCGGAAAAATGCAGACGTACTCATAGGGAGCTAACAGAATTACTCTGAGTGGTATACATCTTTTTCATGCTGATAACGCTTTCCTATTTCTTCCAAATATGGTTTAGGGATCGGCTCTCTGAGTGGTATGAACTTTATCCTGGTATCGGCATCGTGGTAACAAGCTAGGCCATGGCGCTGCGGTGAATTAAACCGGAGACAAAACAGACGCTTCCGTACTTAATTATGCATTGTGACTGAACTTGTTATTTTTGGTGTCGCGATATTCGCCCCACTTAAGGTAAAACCGAAGTAAAAAAATCGGGTGCGTCCAGTTCCTTGTGTGAACGAACCTCAACCATAACTAAGTAGTGTGAACCGGGGGAGGAGTCACCGCAGGTAAAGCGCTCCAACTGTGGATTTCATGTTGGATTGTCTGGTTTCTCACATCGGCCAACTTTTTAAGGGCAAAATGCATTTGTGTTGTTATCTCATGGTGCACATGTGTTCCCGAAAAAAATGAGCCCAATAAGAGCAGCTTTTCGGAAGTTATAGCCTCGGGCGTTTTAGAAAAGTCACGTAATATAACTTTCCTCCAGAGCGCGGGTCTTTGCGATCTATCAAATGGTAGAACACATGAAATTATCTAGCACATGCTTATACGCGTTTGAGCAAATGCGCACACGGTTCATCTGTGGCATGTTTTAGTAATTCGTTTCATTTTGGCCAAATGAACTGGTAACATAATACTACGCAACCTTTCAGTGACCTAAAGGCGTAAGACACGCACAATTGGACCGTTCAGAACACTACCAATGATGATAATGAAAATACCATTGCACTGTGTGAAGCAAGCAAGAAACTAAGTGCTGGAATGACAAGTTTTGGGTAAAAGGAAGGGCAATGCTATGCCCCGGCCCCTAACCGAGGAAAATAATGAAGCATGTCAAAGCAATGCATCTCCCCAGCTCTCACAAAATTCCTCGACGCGGTCACTAACCAACGCAATGTTTACTGTCTGGTCCCAACATTATGCTAAAGCTACATGTGAACGTTTGTTTGACTCTACGCATCACTGAAGGGCAACAGGTTAGCCATTCCCGTATCTAGACCTTTGCCACAAGGTCAGCAAGCCTGTCCTAATTTTGAACTAGGGCTTCTAGAGTGTAGGATACTGCCAGTGACAGGTCCCAGAGCTCCAACCGGTAACGTTGGTAGAAGGGACGTTTCAGCGTTAAGTGCGTTGTGGTTTAAATGTGGTGACCGCATGAAATTGCACAAATACATTAAAGGGGGACGTTAGAGTTCATGTGAGTTCGGGAAGGCGGATCTAGGTCCTGTTCGCACAGGGAGTGATGTCCCTCAGAGACGGAGCTAGGTGGTTTTTCGGACTTGTGAATGAGGAGCCGTGGGCTCTCGCGCAGTGGCGCAATGTCGATGGTTTGTTGCAATGTCTTTAATATGTGTAGGGATATTACCAAATTTCTGATCTACTCGAGGAAATAATGCGGGTCAATGTACAACTGCTCAGGTTCGCAGTTTTCTTCATCCTCATAGGTGTGTGGTTTGTCTTAAAATGCTCGAAACACGTTGAACGGCAGCTTGGAAATACATTATATATGAAACTAGAGGTGGGATAACCAGGAGCCAGGGGGCTGGGCCGCAAACTTTTCGAGAATGTCACATTAGTATAATGGTTGTTGACTTGAAAGAAACTACCAAAAATGTCTATCATCCCCTCCCCATTGGGGAACATCTATTGCTCATGTGTGGAACAGTGCATGGGACATGTCGCACGGCCTCGTTTTGAGCATTTTGTGGCATCAAACTAAGTCAGCCGTTGTTCCTCGGCTATTGTAAACTTCCTCGCGGTACGAAACCCATGCCATCACTAGTTCGATCATTTGAGCTGAGAACAATAGTCGTGACGCGCTAACTGCTGTTCACTTTTAAAAGAATGCCAATATGGACGTTGACTATGACCATGTTTATGGACGGAGATTGCAGAGTGAAAAATGTGCCAGCAACCACACCGGCATTTACCGATCTGTCGGTAATTGTCATTCTCCATCGAATGATCCACCAGTTAACGTTCCGTTCGCTTTGCAACACCAGCTTTTCTGAGCCCTCTCCAGCCCTAGCTATGTGCTCATGAAAATACAGGTCTGTAGAGCGCGTGAGTTCCAGGTCTTTGTGTTCTTATCATATAGAAAATATCACTCGTTATTGGACTGTCGGTCGAGGATCACACAGAGCGGCTCGTTGCCTGCGTGCGAATTAAAATAAATGTTGGCGTAAACAGGTACATGACCGAGCTTTGTTGGAAAGATCACTGATGTAAATCAAAGTATGAACGCGCGCTGTCACTGAGTATCTTGGACAGCCAGCATTTACAGATTGACAATCAGATTGGCAGTCAGGTTTTAAGTACATTAGTGTCTGTGCAGGTGACTTACGAAGAATGGCCAATGGGCTCACATTGTACCAATAAACAGGGCACGACCAGTGGAGTGGATTGGCTGGTGGCAAACGACTGCCTAGTTTACGACAGGCACAAACATCGGGACCCTAACGAATGTTTGATGAATAATCACTTCGGTCGAATGTTTTTCTCTGGTCTGCATGGTGTTTTGTATGGAATTTAGGCGACTTTTGATGAGACTGAAAATCCCATAAAACAGGGACGAAAAAAGTATACGTACCGGGCATCGCTGGCGGCGAAGTACGCTTCCGTGATTAGGTGTGCTACGGAGACAATATGCTTGCTGTGAACAAATGCTCAAAGCTTGTCCAGTGCTTCTGTTGGCCATTTAACCGCTGTGATAATGTGTGGATGGATGGCAAATGAGTTGAGGGGCAGAATTGGGGAGCCGACACGCAATGTACGTCCACGACCTGTTTGGGGAAAGGAGCAAATATCTCAACGTTCAAACTGTTCTTTCAGTGTGTGTGAATTTCCTTACGAGACATAAGAATTCTGCCGCACACCCTTCGGATAGCCTTCACAGCCAAACAGCTGGGCAGTCACGAGACATTCCGCTGAAAACCGTATACAGCACACCCCGCCTAACATAGCTTATCAAAGGGGATGACATAGTCAATGAAAAGTGATAGCGTGATATAACGACAATGTAGGCAAACGTGCCCATAGTCTGTCTTTGTTATACATCGATCGAAATGGTCGATATCTGATCAATCTCGTGCCAACCGGCCGGACCGGTTGGGGTAGCGTGTCTTGATCAAACCATACACCTACATTCACTGACTGCAAAGCTCTCGGAAATGTTAAAAGAAGGGCAGCATATGTGTGACTGTAAGTTCCCAAGTCTCAGAGTGCTGTAATGAAGGGGCTTTTGTGTGCGGAGGGCACTTGGATGCCATTGTGCAGGTTTCTCAGGGGCGTGACAAGACCTTTGTAAGCTGCCAGACGTTGGATATGCTACTAGTAAGTTAGCAGATTTGAACTTATCTGGGAGCACGTTGACTGTTAAAGCATTTTCCCCTCCATGGACCACAGATGCTACTTCCTAGCTGAGGTGTGCTACGGTTTTGCTGATCGCCGGAGCAAGCTTTGTTTCAAAAACTTTTAAAAGTGAGGGTGAGACGGCAAATGTAATATGACCGAACAACAGGAAATGAAAACACTCCCCGCCCTTGTCTCCTACCACTGTTGATGTTTTTGTTTTTCTTTCATGCTGCTACCCGTAATACGGGTTTAAACCAGCTAGTTAGTTTCATGCTTTTGCAAGGATCTGCTCTTGCCCAGCCACATTGGGACCGACGAGTCCGGCAGGCGCAGCGCATGCTTTGTTTTTCTTGTTTTAAAATTTAACTCTAAGCTTTTCAACCGGTGGACTTCTGGAATCACAGCTCACACTAAGCAGTGCTTGTTGTGTGAGCCCTGGCCCTGCCATCTGATCGAGCAATAACAGGCCACCGGCAGAATTTGGCGGCGAAAGTTAAACGTGCCGCTATGCTCGGCGCGGCCCGTCCTGCCCTCTGCCGTCACCTGACCTCTAGCGGAAGCGGAATGGCACGAGTTCGTTTCATAATATGTTCGGGTAAGGCGGACCGGACCGGATTAGACTGAAAGTCTGGGAAAAGCGGATTGGCGAACGGATTAGATCTGGACTATCCGGACTGCACTGGACCGCAACATAAAAATGCAGTCCATGAAGGGATCTGGCTCTAGCATACTGAGCCATCGGGACGTACTTTGAGTGATCTTACTCGTTTTTTCCCTGATTCTTTATCCATGCTCATATGTTAGCCAATGCCCGCATTTCATTTCCACGTGAAACAGTTGAAGCTTCGATGTCTTTTTTACGTTGAGATCAGCTCCCTTAATCGTGATACTAAGCATTGTTTGCATGCGACGCATGTGGAGCATCGTCCAGAAAAGGAACATTTTGAACTTTTTCGACGGAGATGTGATTGGCTACACCTGCGTTGGTCAAGATCTTGTGTTTAAGATCCGCTTGTCCGCAAGATCCGCAAGATCCGCTTGTGTTTGAATTGCTGGCGTGACACCCATATGCCACTATCGCTGCATCTCTCGCCAAAACCCAGAACCTTTCGCACCCACACATCGAAGGGAGCGACCTCGAGCTGCCCCTGCTCCCAGTACCTCCTGAGCACCAGCCGAGTCCCGTCCATTACACGGGGGCCACGAGCTGACCCTGCTTCCACCACCTTATGAGCACCGGCCGATCCCCGTCCATTACGCGTCTGGATTTCCTGCGCGTAAGCGTTGGGTCTGTGGTCAAGGCAGGATGATTGTGGTGTTATCTATTTTATCTCTCTCATTCAATCTACAGCTCTTGAATGGTCTGCATGGGCTGAATCATCTTTAACCTAACCGAACCGAGCATTTTACATGCACGTCATGTTTATGCGCTGTTCGCACCTTGCCTGAAAGCCACTAGACACAGGTAATTTCCCAAATTCGACGTTTTAAACGATTTGTAACCCAGTACTGCGCATGTATTAACTTGGACCCGGTGCAATTGAAAACGTGTCCAGCCGAGCCAGAATGGTTACACTTCAAGAGTTTGTTTGTTCTGTGTATTGTTTTGTTTCTTTTTTGTTTTGTTCTATTTCAATTTTCTGAAATGAGTGGAATCTATGGAGAATGTAAGTTTACACAGCACTTGAGGTACGATGGGCTTTTACCACGGAAATTATTCGGTGTAATTGCCTACTGCATTGTTGAGCACGCCGCTGTGTTTGGGAGACACTGTACTGTGTTTAGGCTGCATACAGTTAGGTGTCTCATCGTAGAACATTTAAGCTAGCGCATGGCGTTGCCGAACGGGAAGCAGTTTAAGCATTCACCAAGTCAAAATCTAACAGAGAGAGGGACGGAGGGCACTATTTGGTCTGATCGACACACTTTCCTTAGAGCACGCTTCAAATAGACCGCACTGCTCTGCTTCAAGCAGACCGGACTGCTTTGCTTCAAATGGGCTGCACTGCTCTGCTCAGAATTCGGGACGTGCCCCACTTCAGAGCAGGCCGCGATACTTAGACCTCTAATAGCATACCAAGCTCCGCTATGTTACAAAGCTTTGAGGCTGCTTCCAATCGATCGGTTTACTCTTTCAGTTGAACAAGTGAAGATCTCTAGCATGTTACAGTAAGCATCAGTAGCGAACTTCGCAGCACACGTACAGAGAAAACCATGCTATTAGGGTGTACAAAGATGGAGCCAAAGATAGCTTGCGGGTTAAACATCCTCAGGTAGTGCAATAGATGTGCATAGCAATTACATAATGTCGCGCTTCTTTAAGTTCTTGAAGCGTCGCATTGCAGGGAAGGTATTGCGCTTACAGGACGGTGTTAAGCCGACATCACTCTGCACCGCATTAATGTGAAGCACACCTTAGAGAGTTAGCAAGGCGTTAATGCCGAACAAAACCAGTCATGTGATAAACAGTTTTTATTTTGTGTTCAAATGCTTCTCGAGCATATGTAATTGAATTCATTGAAGGTGGTCGCGCACAGCAGAGAGAAATGAGCTTGGTTCCCAGCGCTGGTCCCTGCTACCGACTGACCTTTTTGAAAACGACACCCTGGATCCTCGTTTCTATGGCCTCTTTTGTAAACGCCCGCTTCTGGTTCCCGGATCCCATCATTTCAGCAGCGCACCACCAATGGGCGCGCCGCCTTGTCGCTGGCGGCTGTGCAGTGCTGTGCTGTGCTGTGCACATGGCCTGTTGTGCCAGCGCGACCGTCATCTGGCGCGGCCTTGACGTGACGCGGCTGTGACGTGACGCGGCCGTGACGTGACACGACCGTGCTGTGCCGTGATGCGGCCGTGACGTGACGTGACGCGGCCGTGACGTGACACGACCGTGCCGTGCCGTGATGCGGCCGTGACGTGACGTGACGCGGCCGTGACGTGACACGACCGTGCCGTGCCGTGATGCGGCCGTGACGTGACGCGACGCAGCCGTGACGCGACGTGAAGCGGCTCTGACGTGGCGTGGCCGTGGCGTGGCGTGACGCTGCTGTGACGTGACGCGGCCGTGAAGTTACTCGGCCCTGCCGTGACGTGACCCGGCCGTCCCGTCGACAGGTTCGGGTTCCTGCAGCTGGGCTCGCTGGCGGCGCGCTACCCGTACCTGGCCGGCTGTGATGTGCTCGGCAAGCCGTTCGCATGGCAGGCCGTGTGGCCCCCGACCGGTCACGTGCCGGCCCAGCCGCCGCCCGTGCACCAGGCTCGGCTGGCCCTGCACTCCCACTCGCCAGGTGAGAATCAAAACAAGCTACAACTTCTGGCTGTACGAGCAAATACGTCCTGTCGTGATTGTTTGAGCTGATTTCACAGCACTACTGTCACCACTGATGTGACACCATTCATATGTCATGTACTCTTCCGGTGCTGCCCAAAAGCCCCGCTCTTCTAATGACCTTCCACTGACCTTCGGCGTAGCTGAACATTGAGCGCGCCTATCCGCCTTTCCATGACGACGCGGTCAATGGCTGGCTCCAGATATAAATACGCTCTCTCGGCTACTCATCAGATTAATGCGGCCGCCAATCAGCCGGCGAGGTCTTGAGCGACCGACCCTCCCACCAGCCGGTCTACTTGAACGGCTTTGTCCGCATGCAATGCCGAAGGCCGGTGATGGCAATCATGGCTGGCGGGCGGCCCTCGAGCCCTTCGGCAGACGGATACGCAGCAGCGCCGGCTAACGGGGGCTCAGTGGGCGCGGGTCCATGCACGGTCCGTCAACGTTCACGTCAAAAGAGATATAGACTCGAAGACGAATTGGCGCTTTAAATGCGATATCCAGTGCGTCTCACAGAACGGGGGCTACCGGAGGAATGGTGTAGTTGACCCCCAATGCCGGCAGGCCAAAAGTAAGGCTATGTTTTTGCCCCCCCCCCCCCTCTCCCTCAAAGAAAATTGGAAGACCCTTTTTCCGAACCACAGGCATGGTAGCTACACGTAGCGTACCGAAATTAATATGAAGCATGCCCCCATAACTGGGCTAGACAGTAATAAATCGGGCTCAGAACACACTTCGCTGGATCCAGAGACCCGTTTTCTGAGTATTGGGGTCATCTTTATGAATACGGTAGCCAATGTTCTAGGCTAGGAGGCCAAATATGGCGTTAAGGCGGCCCTTTTGCTGTCTCGTGTGGCCCATTTTCCAAACAAAGGGGGTCAGCTCTGGTTCAGAAGGCACTCTCCATATTCAGGTCACATTTCTGGAACAGCAGGCCCCTATCATGCATCAGACGGCGGCGGTTCCGGATCGGGATGCTCTGTTTTGGGAAAGTGAGGCCCCTTGACAAAATCTGGAGGCCCCTCTCGTGAGATGTAAACATCCTATTCTGCATTATAAGGCTCCTCTATACATTGGGATGCTCTTTTATTAGACAGGAGAGCCCGTTGTAACCTAGCGAGACCCTTTGTTTGATAATAAGAAGGCTCCCATTCTATATTTGTTAATTGTCGACATTGAGTTACTTGGATATGCACATGAAACAGCTTGATAAGGGACATTTTGTCGTCGGTACCCCTCCCCTTTGGATACGACATTGCATGGACCGCCCCCCCCCCCCCCCTCCCTGTGAATAGGTCCCAATTTTTCCGGGAGGCCCCTGGAAAATCCTGCCCCTCGAACTCAAAACTCGTGGCGCAAGCCCTGCCGCAGACATCTCTTATCAAAGTGTATTCATGCACTTGAACATGCCAGAATGACAGAAGAGTAAGCTTCGTTATGTTTGTAGCATGATGTAACGATAGGGTGTGGATAAATCTCGATCATTTGTGCTAGATATCGCTTTATTTCGTACGCGCAAGCCCACACTTATGCTGTACATAACATGCAACGACAACTTTTGTTGTCTCATTTGTAATCTTTCCATCATCTGTCACTACACGTCCTGTGAGGACAGACTTGCGAAAAAAGTAAACTTCGCACTATGTAACAAGCAATGCCCCTGTTTTTGTCCTTAAAGACCCGTTCACATCTTGCGAACTGGATGCAGAATCTGCTACAGATTCTGCAGTCAATCAGCTGTTTTGGACTAGAGGCGCCGTGTTTGAGCCCTTTACCCGCGCTTTGCGGGTCTGCAGTATCTTAATGTGGTATCTCCAGTCCACAACAGCTGACGGCTACAGAATCTGTAATAGACTCTGCAACCAGTCCGCGAGGCGTAAACGGGCTTTATGCACGCCTCATAAACACACGTAATGAAAAACATGCCACTTGAAATCCATCTCCAGATGTCATCTAAAAACTGCGGCCCTGAAATTTTGCGCGTCGGCCGGAAGGGTAGGCAGAATGTGGTTGGAAATTAGGAGATAGGAGTTTTCGGTGGCTCAACCTTGCACAGCTCAGAAGGCCCTGATGAAGTAACCGTGGGGGTTGAACGGCCTGCTCCCACAGAAGCGTGGTTAAATGAATCGTCAGAAATCGCAACTTTTGGATAGTGTCTAGAACACTTGTATTCTCATGATGCTTATACGTTTGCAAACGACTGGGAAAGTGTGACGAAGTGGATGTGGTATGTGGTGATGTGATGGACAAAGCGGACTTCGGCAGACGTGAGAGGAACGTGCTAGTAAAAGCGCACCTTCGTCCCATACCTGCGGAGGATTCCCTTTACGTTCAAACCAGGTCTACAGGGACCTCCATTTCGTACTCCGACTGTTTCTCCACCACCGCTGTTCCGCCACGCATGTGCGGAAATACGCGGCCAAGAGGCGTGATTACGAACGCTAGCAGAGCAGTGATAATATCGCCCGCCAGTCGGCCGCCTGCTGAATGGCTCTGACCACTAATCACAGCGCCGGTATTGGCAGTGAGGTTTCGTCGTGAATGGCGAGCGTGCTCGGCCCCCGGCGCCGCGCCGCGGCTCCAGATTAATTCGTTCCGAACCTTTATCCCCGATAGAGAAGCACCTCCCTATAGAAGCGTGATTATCATCTCTATCAAAAAGCCATCGGCCCCCACATGATGTTAAAAGCCCTGAATGGGAATTTAATATGGTCTTTAATGAGGGAGGCCGTAAAATTTGCCCGTCTGGTTTTAGATTAATCCCGGCTCCTCGAATCTGTCGAATAAACAACGGCGCGTCCCCGGCGCTCGCCGCCGCTCCCGCCGACGTCGATGCGTCGATGGCGGCGGCGGCGGACGGCCGACACGCGCGCCCCGCCGCGCCGCCCCCGTAAAACATAGCGACGGCGCGTGCGGCAGCGCCGCATAGCCGCGGCTGGCGGCGGTGAGGCCGCGACGCGCCACAAAAACGCCGCGCCGCGCCACTCTGACTAACGGGCGTGGCGATCAGGGCGGCCGCGCCGGCGCGTCACACGAGAAAGCCGCCGACTGGCGGCGGCCCCGCTCGCTCTGTAATTAGCGGTATGGATCGTGTCCGTGGGGAGGGCGCTGTTATTCTGTGTGCCGGTGGAAGGCATGCGATACATGATGGTGGGATATCTGGTATAATGACGTGCGCGACGTAGGCGTAGTGCAGGAGGCGCGCCGAAAAATTTTTGAGTGACGTTAATCTAGGAGAGATATGCAGACAGGCTGGACGCCGTGCTATCAGCAGGGTCTCTTTGTCCTCAGCCTCTAACAAAGTGTTTTGCGCGTAAAAACAAAGGATAGGTTGTGATGTTAAAGAATCGAGCCTCTTGTGCACCTTTGTGTTTAGGGCTCCAGCGCCTACGGTGCAGGAGGCCGTGATAACTGAAATTTTGAAAACGGCGTTTTGATTTGCCCATATTGTGGACACTGATCTACGCGATAAAGCGCCGTACATGTCGTGTTCTATCAGTGGAGAGCCTTTGATTCAAGTCGGGCGATCGGTTCAGAAACCAGGAGATTGCTCTTAAGCTGCGTCTCAGTTATGAGCGTTTCTTCGTTTATATGAGCTACCGCAAATCTCGTTGCCATAACTCTAAATTTGCCACTAGAGATGAAATCACCAGGCACGTTGGTTGCTATGACAGCGACACCGTTCCCTACTGTCTGGCCCTATCCGCTGCCTGACGGCGCCCGGTCTCTGTCGACAGAGCCGTCGTCGCCGGCGGCCGCCGACCGCAAGTCTCCCGTGTCGGCGGCGGCGGCACCTATCGACGCCGCTGACGACGCCGACGACCGCGGCGGCGACGATCAGCGCGACGGCAAGGACCGGCGTAAGAAGAAGACGCGCACCGTGTTCTCGCGCAGCCAGGTGTTCCAGCTTGAGTCGACGTTCGATATGAAACGCTACCTCTCCAGCTCGGAGCGCGCCGGCCTGGCCGCCTCACTCCACCTGACCGAGACGCAGGTCAAGATCTGGTTCCAGAACAGGCGCAACAAATGGAAGCGCCAGCTGGCGGCCGAGTTGGAGGCGGCCAACATGGCGCACGCGGCGCAGCGGCTGGTGCGCGTACCCATCTTGTACCACGAAGGCGCCGCAGGTAAGGGCGGCAGCGGCGGCGGCGGCGGAGCGGGCGGCGGCGCCGGCGGCGATCCGCCGAGCTCGAGCAGTCAGTCGCAGCCGCCGCCGGCGCCGCCCGGGCTCGGCGGGTACGCCCCGCTCTTCTACCCGCAGGCCTCGCCCTACACGCCCACCTGTCGACCATCGCTGCCCAGTCTGGTCTGAGCGGCTTCGCGCGCCGAAGGAGCCGTACCGGCCGCGGCGCGCCCTCTTCGGGCTCGGCGGCGGGTGGCGCCGGCGACCGAGGGAGGAGCGGCGGGGGGGGGGGGGGGGGCGGGGGGACAGCGAGGCCCCTCGGCTCCGGCGGCGGGCGGCGAACAGCACGCTGGTCCGATCTGCAGCGGACGGGCCGCCCGGTCGCACGTCGACACACTCACAAATGCCTGCACACCTTGTTCGAAGTCTGCGGGCAGGATCGCCGCTGGAAAGGATCCGGCGGCGGGAGCGGCCGGTGAGGGACCCAGCTCGAGCTCGGCAGGCTGGGTGCTGGCCTCGTCTGAGCAGGCTCTGTGTTGCAATATTCCCGTCTCTCGCAAGCCCGTGCTGGAGTTCCGAGCCCGTGTGCTCCTGACAGCGGTCAGCGGAGGCCCGTGTGAGCCATGAGTCATCTAGTCAGAATCGGGTACCTATGGATGTTGTTGGATGTTTGGCACATCGGAGTGGCGTTGTCTTACGCTGATGGTGCACAGAACAGGAGCGCACCCGAAAATATCTTGTGAGTGAGCGTTGTGCAGGAATCCTTTAGATTTTGGGTTAATAGCCTAGTGATCAGGATAACGGAATAGTTTTATCATGTTGTCCTCGCTTGCTGTCATCCCATTTTTACAGATGATGCGTTTTCCTCCCCGTGGAGGATTGATTGATGAACTTTTTACAGAAAATGTTATTCAGGTCTGCATTCAAATTATGGTGGACAAAATCATCTGTTTGGTGGTGTATCTACACTTGGCAGACGGTATTCTAGTCAGAGCGACAGATTTGGGTAATATAAGAACTTCCACATTGGGAGAAAACGTTTCTCAGAGGCGTTGCTTTGCTTTTGTGCTGCTGTAATTCTAAGCTTTCAGGGGGGCCGGCTGAATAAGACTAAGCTTTCCACCAATTTTTTCTGAGTATCTGAGATTGCTTTGTATGCCGAATTGCTTTTGATTAGCACATTTAATTTTTGCGTAGGAAGTAACTCCGTCAGTGCTACACAACTTCATCGCATATGTTCGTCACCTGTGTAAATTGTTATTACCTTCTCAATGTTCACACGTATACATATGTCACAGTTTTGAATGTCATCGCATGGTTGTATTTGTTAACCAATAAAATCATTCCTCTAAAGTGTTTATTTCTAGAACAATACATTTTAGTACGAATGTGGTTGAAAGAAACGCAGCTTTAAAGTTCGTCATGGAAGCAGGGTTGAGGAGATGATGCCTTACGTACTGCAGCAGCTCTTTTCATTCATTTGTTTCTACAACACATGTTGCTTTTATTAGCTGCTGCAATGTGTAGCCTTGAACAAGTAGCACAAGCTTGCAGTGTCAGTTTCTACTCATTTTGGCTGGTCAATCATCTAAATCCATATTTGAAGGCATCTCTCAGCTGTGATTTTCCACCGAGAGCCTACCCACCGGTGCTGCGTCAGTCAGTGTCGACCCACGTCAGTGCCGCCTGGCTCATACAGCTCACCGCGGCGGCAACTTCTCAAGAAAGAGAGTAACGAGCGAGCTTGATGCCGGAGCAGAGCACCACTGCAGTCTCCACACCAGCACCACTGCGGCCTTCACACCAGCACACCAACGGCCCCACACCAGCACCACTTGCGGCCTTCACACCAGTACACCAACGGCCTCCACACCAGTACCACTATGGACTCCACACTAGCACCACTGCGGCCTCCACACCAGCACCATTGTGGCCTCCACACCAGCACCACTGCGACCTCCACACCAGCACCACTGCGGACCCCACACCAGCACCATTGCGACCCCCACACCAGCACCACTACGGACTCCACACCAGCACCACTATGGACTCCGCACTAGCACCACTGCGGCCTCCACACCAGCACCATCACGGACTTAACACCAGCACCACTGAGAGCTCCACACCAGCACTACATTCTGATGCAAGAAACAGCGTTCAACGTCGACGAATGCCGGGCTCCTGAGGTCTTGCCGCTATTGGGCTTTGTTGTGGTCATACCACGGACCAAAACGTTGTCATGTGGTAGCACAGCCTTGATAGCTAACTTTGGTAGGACCAATCTCTTCAAGACTAGATGTAGGTTTTGTAAAGAAGTTATATCTCTTCAAGAAATATATTAACTTACAACAACAGCATGTAATCATCGGCACACACCAGCACCCGGAACACGACGCTGGCCATGTCTAGTGCCGGAAGATAGCCAATCTGTTATATCATTGCTATAGCCCCAGCTACTGCCGATAGTTGTGATAAATGACCGGGTCATTACGCCATCGCCGGTGCAGAATCTCGCTTGACTCTACCCATATCGTGGAGGAGCAGTGCCATCATCGGGAAAGGAGACCCTTGACTCAGCAAAAGAAGAAACGTATAATTTCCTAGTCTTGGGCAGACTCAATAGGCCGTGGTTTGGGCCCATTTATGTTGTTTCTCAGAAGTCTGCATAAGAAACAAAAGTCCCATAGGGTGTACAGAAATAACCGTGGAATGGCAAGATTTCTAGAGCCCCGAAGAAGGTACAATTACATAATTATGTCCTGTGTGCAAGCACAAAAATGACCGCGACAAGCGCCGGATGTGAGTCAACGAGGTGGTCTGAGCGACGGCACGGGTAACGATATGTTCACAAATGTTGCAACCTCTAAGTACTGTTCTATTAGAGCGAGGAAGTAAAACCAACGGAGTATACCATACGCACCGCGCTAGTCACACCCGATACATGATCAGGAATGGCAATACCAACAGCCAATTGTCAGGTTGTCGATCACCGTTGCTGGTCGGTGATTGCTTGGGTAGGTAGGTTATCATGCGCATTATGGCGCGGCGGGTTGAATCATCTCTTCGCAAAATTAGTATCACGCACTCAGCGCTGTCAGTGGCGTGTACTCGGCACTGTCTGTGCACGTGCCCGGTGTTGTCAGTACTGTGTACTTGGCGCCGTCCGTGTCACGTACTCAGCGCTGTCAGCGGAGCGTACTCGGCGTTGTCCGTGTCGTGTACTCGACAATATCAGCGGCGTGCACTCGGCGCTGTCAGTGGTGTATACCCGGCGCTGTCTGAGTCGTATCTGTGTCACATACTCAGCGCTATCAGTGGCGTGTACTCGGCGCAGTCTGTACACGAACTCGGCACTGTCAGTACCGTGTACTTGGCGCCGTCTGTGTCACGTACTCAGCGCTGTCAGTGGCGTGTACTCGGCGCTATCTATGTCGTGTGCTCGGCACTGCCGTAGCCTGGCGTGACTGCAAACGCTCAAGGCGGCGCCACTCGCTCCTTGACTCTTAGGGTATGCTGTTCCGCCGGGCTCTATGACTGCAACTCAATGCAGGTGGCAGGCGCAGACGCTGTACCGCACAGCACCACGATCAAAACGCAACACTACCACTGTCGAAGAACTGGCCGAGTTTGTTAGATTCGCCGAACGTGCCGCTGGCTTTTCATTCTTTCATTTCTGGGTATAAGATACGGCTTCCCCATTATATATATATATATATATATATATATATATATATATATATATATATATGAGCGGCCTAAGTATCACCTTTCTACGTTAGGTTTAGCTCGGCACACATACACAACATTGGCATGCCAGACCAAATTATGCAGCGTGCCGGCTGTCGCACCGTGGCGGGTGACGTCAGCAGCGGTCAGAGATCGGCGCCGACATCATGGCATGAGCCGCCAACAAGGTCTGCCTTCTGAAACACGCACACCCTCCGCCTCCTGAGCATGTACAACTGGTATACAGGCCGGCCGAGATGGAGCGGTCTCGTGACCGCCGCCTCTCAGCGCGCCACCGTTCGCCGCGGGCCTCGGGCCGCCCCCAGTGGACCCCCGACACGCCAGCGGCACCGGCGGACCGGCCGACCGACGCCATCTTCCCATCGCGCCGTGCGCCGCCAAAGGTGCGCGCCGCCGCCGTCGCCGCCACCGAAATTGGATTAGAGCGCAATCAGGAGCGGAGCAGTTGAACGGCGGCGGCGCCGGTGAAGCGGCAATCGATACAGCGGCCGGCGGTGGCGGCGGCGGCGGCGGCGGCGCCATCCCTGCCCGGGCCGTGCCTGCAGGGCCGGCAGGGATGGGCAGGGACGGCAGCTGACGACCGGCCGGGCGCCGCAGCCGGGAGCCAGGTGCGCCCGACCGGTAGCGACAGCGGGGCTGCTGGGGTGCCGTCCATCCTGTGGCGGCGGCGGGGCTGCTGGGGTGCCGTCCGTCCGAGGGTGAAGTCCGACACGGGAAATCGTTTGGTGTTTTACTCATCTCGGAAATATGACTTTGTGTTGATCTCGGAACTGATCACAGATGCTGTTTTGGCCTTTTTAGTGGCATAACCACGTTGACAATTCCACATTGGTAATGATGTGCTCATTTGGGGCCCATGCACAACATGGTCAAAGCTTTGACTTAAAAAGTGCATGCCTTGCATATGTAAATGAAGCCCATTGGTTGTGTGCAAACCATTTTGTGGAAGATATTGTTATCTTGAAAGCGGCATGCACTTGAGAGAACTGAAAGGATCCAAAGTGTGTAATAATGTTGTTAGTAAGCTCGAAAAATGATCATGCTTCCAGTTAATCTTATTTTTATTTCAATTGAAGCATCACTCAGTTATATAACAAACCACATCAACAGATTTCACTAATAACGTCTTTCAGGGAGCATCCCACCTTTTTGCACATTTCACGCATAGCCAGATCACACGGGTCCGGTTTCATCGGGGATACGAGTTTTCGCGAAATTGTTCTGGAATTTCATCTAAGCAGCCGCTTCGACGGCAACAATCTCATTTGAACAGCCGCTTCCACGGCGACAGTCTCATTTGAACTCCCGCTTCGACGGCAACAATCTCATTGGACCCTCCTCGCCGCTATCAAATGAATGATTCCTCTATGTTTGGATTTTCCGGCGTGTGCAATGTGGTATCCTCGGCCAAACATTCGCCAAAATCCTCGTGTATGAAATGGTATGAGAGCCTGAATCTCTCCATTCAGCGGAAAAGTTACACAAACATGACGCCATTGTCACGTGAATTCAACGCAACGTTCCACTATGGTTTTTATTCCTGTCCTAAGGCGTTTAGCATAGTGACTGTTCGAAAAATGCTTTAGCCTTGGAAAGCATTGTTCATTTGGTTGCTTTTGTCGTTCAAGGATGCGTTTAAAAGGCAAGCAAACACCAGCAACAAATCAGCTCATTTGGTTATGCGCATGCTTCCCTAATGCATTAATGGCCCGTTGCTTATGCTGCGCGCTGCGATAATTGCAAGTACTCATATCTACTGACAACATTCATACATAAGCAAGACGCAAATGTCCCATATGGCTTCTACCGCGATGATAGTGGGTAGAAGTATTCTGCAATTTAAATGGAGAGTAGCACCACTTTGTCACAAAATATTCACA